GCCACATTTCCCTAGTTTGCCTATGAGAATGTCAGGTGAGACTGTGTCAAAAGCCTTACTAAAATCAACATGTTTCATGTCTACTACTTCCCCCTGTCCATTACTCCAGTGACCCCGTCAAAGAATGCTCCTAATGTATTCAAAGAACCTCTTCATATTGCCTTTTATGTCCCTTTTTATTATTAAGAAGATCTAAATGTGATCCAAAACTGCAAAATATGAAGCAATTTAGATAGAGATTACATTTCAGCTACGTTAGCTATAAAGATACTGGGCCAGAATCCACCTTCTCACTTGTGTAAATCAGAAATAACCTCGTTGTCATCAATAGAATTGCACTTGTGCAAAACAGATGTAAGTGAGAGCTGACTCAGGCCCATGATATTTATTAGATCAGCCATCTTGAGCATTTAAATGGTTAGCCATCTCCCAAGTCAAGTTAATACCAATAAGGGCTAATTCAGTTCCTCATGTGAGAACTCTGGATTTAGATAAGAGGTGGAAGTTAATGTTGTGCAGACTACCTTGACCATTTACTCAGTTATTTTAACTTGAATGTTAAATTTAGATGGGTTTTGCATGTGAAATAGTTTGAATCAGATATATTTTTTCTGTATGAAAGTAAAGCAACTGTATGCCCTGTTCCTGTAGTCTTCAGTTCTGAAATTGTGTAGGTTGGGGGTGAATCTGGTTGTGAATTAGGGCTCTCTACCTCTACCATATAAGAAAAATATGTCTGCTAGGCTCCTGAGTGCACATTTTAGACAAAAAGTGCTCCATAAATAGAGCACCTTTCAAACTGGATTCTCTTTTTATATAGGCGGTAATGACGGCCTGATGAGATAGGTGCAAAATACAGAAAATAACACTTCAAATATTTGGTGGAGTTGAGAGAGTATCCTAGATTCCCCATGAAGGTCACTCCTTTAGAGACAATTGGCCAGATTTTGATCTCACTTACACCATTTTGTCTTTATGGATTGCAGTGCAGTTACTAGTGATTTGCACCAGAGAGTTCAGAATCAGGCCCATACTTTTATTCTAGGCTGCATTTTTTTAAATAAATAAGATGGGAGTTTTTTTTCCCAAAGTCTCCTTTGTTAAAATGAAAGACTGCTGATTTTTACTATAGTATCTTTCAGAATAAATAGCCAGGTTTATTTTTGCCTTAATTCTGCAGAAGATTAAGAATACATGGACTTGGAACCATTGCTTCCTTGCTTTTCCACAGGCAAGGAGTGAGATGAAAGCTCCCAATTGTACCTTTTTGCCTTAGTTCTGATGTCCTGATTCCAAGAGTCAGCCCTACTCCGTACATGACTCTGTGCTCCTAACACACTGCGCAAAGTTGCACCACAGGCCTTAATGGAGTTTACAGGAGCTGTGCCACAGTAGGGCTTGGATCTCAGCACACTTTTGCCAGCAGGGAGTTCCCCTTCAACAGAGGGATTCTCTGCTGGAGACTTGTGACTAGTTCCTAGTCCCTTGTATACTACCATGTAGAGTGAGTGGTGCAAAGGGGCTGGATCAGACTGGGGAATCCATCCCTTTATTTTCAACCTCCTGGCTGTTGCTTTTCCTGTTACACCCACTTTTCTTCCCCATGAGATCAGACTCCCTGTTGAATTAAACCGACATAAAATTGGTAACTCCACTGCTTTCAGCGCAGTTTTTCTAGATTTATACCAATGGAATTTAGAGCTGAATTTAGGTCCTTGGTGTTTAATTTACACTTGATATTTTTCCCCCAGTGCAGTGACTGTGGGGGCAAATCAATGAAAGTTGCACTTCATCACTTATCACACTTATGGATGACGTGTGACTTACACCGCTGTTTGTCACCACTGAGTTTAGCCCCTGTGGCCAGGGCAGATGGCAATAGTGTATCCTTACAGTTCAGCAGAGCTTGGGACAGAATATTATACTACTTGTGGTACATGATTTTAGACTTTATTTGTAGACACTACGTTAAAGTGAATTATGAAACTTTCAGAAGTCTACCCTGACCAATTAGTGCTCAACATCTTAGTGTGCTTTAGAAATAACACCCCATAGTGCACACTGAAACATATAGACAAGCCCTAACTCCTATTAATCTTGAGAAAGGATAAATCACTATTAGAAGAATTTTTAAAAAATTGATTTAGTGTGTTGATTCTGAATTATACTGAACCACAGATAGGTAGGTATGGAATTGTGAGATAGAATGGTCTGCATTTAATATAGTTCAACAATACTTGGTGGAAAAAAATTACTGTTAGAAGAATACATTGGCAAAGCAGCAAAGAATGTGAGTTGAACAGATTTTAACTTTTGACTGGATTGAGATGGAAGTACAATTTTGTTAATACTAAGACAGGCTGTGCAGACCAGAATCCCATAGGATTTAACCAAGTAGAAGTAAAGCTCATATCTGGAACACTCAGTAAGACAAATGACATACCTTTAAACAAGTGGCTATTTTTAATCAAGAAACAAATATTGCGAATGTGGTGGTCATCTAGGGCCTGTTTTCACATATACTGCTTTTATACCAGGGTAGCTCCATTATAGTCTTCAGTAAAAGTGTGCCTGTTTTTTTGTGTAAGTAAGAAGATAATCAGAATCCGTGATAGCCCAGCAGGGGTCCTAAACAGGAATATTTTTGGCGCCCCTCCCCCCCATACTAAAATCAGCAAGTTCTTATAATAAAAAGCAACTAGGGGGGCCCCTAGAGCTGCTGGGGGCCCTAAGCAATTGCTTAGTCTGCACATGCCTAGCACTGGCTCTGACACTAATGGTTTATCAGAGAGACTGCAGTCGCTTCCTGAAAATCAGGCCCCTCTTAGATGTCTTGCAGGTGTCTTTTTAGGGTGCACACTCTGAAGGTGAGGCACCCTAAACCACAAGTAATTTTTGAAAAATTTGGCCATTTTTTCCAAAATACAATTCATTTCAAATTGTTTTGTTTTGTGAATACTTTTACTGATGTATTCAGGTCAGGCGCACACTTTAAAGATCTCTGCCACCATAATTCTAGGGGAAGAAAAAAGGCTACTTAATTAAGTAGTCGAACTTTGCATGCTGTGAATTGCAGTGTGATACGGTAGCAGGCAACATTTTTCACCTGTATTACCTGAGGGTCTGTCTACACAGGGACTTTCAGGAAAGTAAAAGTGAATCAGCTAAAGCTGTGAAATCAATGTGGATAAATTTAAAGTGAATTCCACCCTCCCACCCGCAAGTGTATACTCTCACCCAAGAGTAAAGTGGCTTGCCGTTCGGCCTTCTGGGGTGCACTGCTGTTCACACCCCTGTAGTCTGAACTGTGTGGCTATAGCCCGAATTTACAATTCACTAAAGCCACTTTACTCCTGAATGAGAGCATCCACATGGGAATCTAACACGCTTTAATTTATGTACACTGACTTCACACCTTTAGCTGATTCACCTTAACTTTGTGAGTGTCCTAGTGTAGCATGGCAATAATGCCATTATTAACAGGGACTATGGGGTGGACCCATTTATTTCTGAGGGAGCAGAGAGATGGTAATGCTGAGTGCTTTTGAAAATCCCACTCATGGCAATTCAATTCAGTGAGAAGGCTTGCATGAGTAAGGAAAGCAAGATTTGGCCCTAAATTAATACTTAATTCTAAAGTTGCAAGTGCAGTATTAACCTTCCTGGTTGGTGCTTACAAGAAAGCACTCTAGGGGTATTGTTTCTTCTTGCCCTTATACACATAGGTAACTTCCACTTTCATTACTGAGAGATGAGTTCCCACTAGTAGCAAAATGGGGGATGGCTGATTTAAAAACAGCCAGTTTGCAAGACTGTTACGATGCATCAAACAAAATAGATTCCTAGGGCTGGCATCTAGGGGGATGTGGAAAATGTCCAAGATATCCCAAATGTCCAAAAAGATAAGGAGAACAAGGCGTTGTCCTCTGCTTTGAAGATACCAGCTGTGTATAGGGAGGATATTTGATACCTCTTATTATTGGTTGAGGTGGTGATTATTGTTTGCACAGGGAAAATGGGTGTAGGTTAAGATTTCAAAGTAGCACATGAAAAAAATTCTGGGACCATACTACTCTGAGTAAGGCAGATAAGGACAAATTCTATTCTCTGGCTCTCTGACTTTTGGAGTTGCTTTGAATTTACGTTGAAGTAACTGAGCAGAGCTCGGCTCACAGTAAGTGAGCCTTACGATTATATAACTCATGTTGTTTCTGCTCCATAACTCTACTTAACACAAATGAGAATTATGAGGTGCAGTGTATATATACTGTAGTACATACAATTTTTAAATTTATTATAAAATTCTATTTTAGATGTTTAGCCCACAGCAGAAATTCATAGCTTTATTTTCCACCCCTACTCCTCACATTAGTCATTTTAGATTGCTATTGCTAAGGGACTGGTTCCAAATTTGCATCAAGTAAAATAATAAAGCAATAAGACATGACGGGGTACATTAATAGGCTATAAATACATGCCTCAGGTACAGTGTGTGCATGAGGCTGAAGGCCAAGAGACTTTAACCACCCAAGATGTGCATTAAGGGTCCATTAATATATACCCAGGAGTGTATTACTAATAATAAGAATAACTATAACAAACAATTTTCAGAAAGAGTGATCATTTTTTAAAATTCCTACATTACAATTATAGAAAGATGCTACTGAAAAAAGGAGACAATGCAATCAGTACATCTTGAACCTTTTGCTTTTAAGGCTTTTTAGATCATCTCTAGTACTAGCTTTGTGTATTAGACATGACCTGGACCTCATTTTGGGTATGTCTATGCAGTGACTGTCAGCTTGCAGGAGTGACTCTCAGAGCCGGGGCTACAAACTGGGGCTTGCAGAGCTTGTACTATGGAGCTAAAAATAGCTGTGGAGATGTTTGGGTTCAGGCTAGAGCTCAGGCTTTGAAGTCTGCATTCTTCCAGCATTAAATCCCTTTTGGAGCCCAGCATTGCCTTTCTTACAGTAACATCAGGTGCTTCCTCCTTGCAGTGGCTGAGAACATGGCCCACACATTACTCCTGCCTCCTACAGTCCCAAGGAGTGAGAGACTCTGGGAGTAAATCCATTGAAGTAAGTTGGATTGTAATGGTGTAAAATTGGACAGAATTTAGAGTCCAAGCCTGGAACTGTAAATTGAATTTAAGACTCTTGCAGGGAAGTGAATGGGTATGAAATGAACATCTCACTCTTAAAGGTGGTTGGTTTCTCCAGATCAGGGTTCAAGCTAGAGCTGCTCAGGAAAAAAAAAATCCTATTATATTTTTTCCTTTTTTTTCATTGTCATCCAAATTTTTCTTCAACTTTTTGGGCATTTTATCTAAAAACAGAAAACGTGACAATCAAAATGTTGTAGGCAATGAGTTTTTTGTTCTCAGAAATTGAAAACTGGAAAATATCAGCTTAAAAGAAAAAAGTCAGTTTTGGTTGCTAATTTTTTTTCTGTGAAAACCACAACCAGCACCCCAAAATCAAAATATTTTGTTTTAATATTTTTGAAATGAAACATTTTGATTTTTTATTCAAAATGACTTCATTTCAAATTTGATTTTTTTTAAAAAGTTTTTTAAAAAACCCTCTGAATGAAACCATGTTTTGTTTCAGGTCAGACAGACTGTTTCATTTGACCTGAAATGGATTTAAAAAAAAAAATTTGATTTGGCCAACGATCCAAAAACAGTGTGACACACAGTAAGCTCAATAAAATGCAACAGAAGAATGAACTGGGAGCCCATATACACTTTAAAAAAATAGGGTCATGTACTAGAGGAAGACAGCATGACCAAGTTGACGAAGAAAGCAAAAAGAAGGAAGATGTGGCAAAGTTCACCAACGTTTTTGGAACAGAGCAACGAAGAAGATGCATTAAGGAATGGATCCACCCAATAGGAAAAATAAGAACTAAAGCAAAAATTAGCCAAAACTCAAATTGAAAAAATCTTTGAAAGTAGTTTTAATTTTCATGCCTTTTAATTTCATGGTTCATGCTGGGGACTGAACGAGAATAGGCAGGCCACCATGTGAAAAACTATTCTTGAATAGCTGCTATTTTCTGCTTGAGCGCAGCAAGTAGGAGGAATGGGAAATCTTGTGAGAAAGCAGATCTGCAGCTTAATTTGAAGACCCAGAAAATCTGGATAGTTTAGTTAGACCCACTTTTGGGTGTTTACCTAAGCCAAATGCTAGCTGTTATTTAACACTACAAATAAACAATTGCCCAAAATAAGATAACAGCAAATTAGATCTATTCTAATCAAGATTTTCTCTGAAGTTAAGAGCAAAGAGAACTATAAAGGCAGGAAAATTAAACCTTCAGGAAATGATTCTCCTGAAACTCATTTGGATCTCTTTCCCTGTCCCCCCCCCCCCCCTTTTAACAACATCACTTTTGCTGCTTTCACACTCTGCCCTTGGAGCTTCAGGTTGAAAATTTCAGTCTCACAATTACACTAAGATGGCAAGGTGGGTGAGGTAATATCTTTTATTGGACCAACTTCTGTTTTGTGCAGGACCTGAAGAAGAGCTCTGCGTAGCTCAAAAGCTCATTTCTTTCATCAGAGAAGTTGGTCACTCATCTTGTCTCTCTAATAGCCTGAGACCAACATGCGACAACAACACTGCAATCACTAGGAGGGAAAACAGACATGGGGGATAGGGCAGGTTTAAAGATCCAGCAGGTCCATTAGTAAAACTGAGGATTTAGATTTAGAGCATGTTTTAACAATAAAAGGTAGGGATATGGCAGATATAGACAAGCAGTCATTAATCCATGAAGTATCATGATGAGTAAAATCCAGATGAGTATCATGAAGTGTGACATTGACACATTAATGTGGTCTGGGTAAAACAATCTATAGAGAAGAAGAATTTTTTTTTCACATGAGAAAAGGAAGACCCTGCATCTCACTGATTAGGCCTGTGTTTAACAGTTACAATGATTTTTAGAAAAGAATACATGAAAAATAAGAATTTAAATCCTTGTAGCATTATCTGATCCAAAGGAATGGATTGCTTCATCCTCTACTGAAATGCAGACATGGCTGTTATTTAAAAGCAGACAGAAATATATACAATAGAGCAGGATGGGAAGTGAAGAAAAATCTGCAAAAAATCTGTAATAGAGGTAATTATTTAGATCTTGGTGCCAACTTTATTTAGAAAATGTGTGTGTAAAATGGCGTAAACGTATAAATACATTAGTGGGGGCTAGACTAGGTAGTCTATGGGAATAAAGGAAGCAGTAGATAGAATAGATAATCTATATTAATGCAGCTAGCAGTAGCTATTTCTCATCTCTAATATCTAAACATTCAACACTATCCGAGACTATTAGTGGTGAATAGACTGCTGGCCCAATGTGGGCTTTATCCTGACTAAAAGAGGTGGAATTTTATTTGCAATGAGTTCCCTAAGCAGCTCCCCAACTCTGCACATTGTTTCTGGACACGTTCAGGAATAGTGCAAGACCAGTACACTTCACAGGTTACACACTTGTATGCATTCTATGCACCCCTTACTGCCACATGAACAAGGTACATTAACAAAGTACCATTCTGCTGCGCAACAGATGCGACTAGGGGGATGGAGCCCACGGGTAGGTGGGGTAGGGGTGCACAAGGAGAGGATTCACAGCTGTGCAGATCCTCTGGTCATGCCCCCTGGTGGGGGTGGGGGATATGGGGAACGGGGAAATGTTAGCACCACGGAAGCTACTTTTGCCATTAGGATGAATGAGCCTCAGTGCCACAGCTCTAATGCTACTTTTGTTACCAGAGAGGGAAGATTCTTTCTGTCCACCCTGCCTTTTACTCCTTAAGGAGATGCCCAGCCCTCTGCTTGGGCTGTACGCTGAGCTCCTGAGTTTGGCCCTAAAGCTTTAAATTGGCCTTGGTGCACTGGACCTTCTGGTGCATTTGCACAGTAGCAAGTGTCCTCATTAATTCAGAGCGCAGGTACTCTGACTGGTACGGTAAGTTGCTCTTATCTATTTTATACATTTACAAATATTTTATTTTGTTTTTCAGAAATAATGTCATGGAACCTTCTGACTAGTAAGTGGTTTTCTGCTTTGAAAATAATTACCTTGGATTTACCTTAATATTTGTTTTCTGCAAATGCTTTGGCCTGGCCTGGCCTGGCCTGGCCTGGCCTCAGCATTTATCTTGCAGCAGGAGGCCATTATTCAGGCACACCATTCCATTCCATTCCATTCCATTCCATTGACATTCTCTCTCTCTCTCTTCCCTATATTCAGCATTTAGTAGCAAGCAATATAAAGATGATTATACTACAATCAACATGCCACTGTGGGAACCAGAAGCAATTATCTCAGTATTTTTTTTTTACCCTCAACCCACTGAGCTCTGAAAAAATATGTCAGTGAGTGGGTGCACCTACCCTGAAAAAAAAAAGGCAAACCAAAACACGGAAGCAAGTCTCAGAGTCCGGGTCAACTGGCTCAGGCTCACAGGGCTTGTGCTTCAGGGCTAAAAATAGCAGTGTAGATCTTCCTGCTTGGGTTTGAGCCTGGGCTTTGAAACCTGGTGAGGAGGGAAGGTCTCGGAACCTAGACTCCAGCTCTTCCCTAGGAACATCTCTGCTACTATTTTTAGTCCTGTCCCATAAGCCTTAGTCATTTGACCCAGGCTCTCAGACTCGCTGCTGTGGAGGATTTTTTTTCTGTTTTTGCAGTGTAGATGGACCCACTGAAGCCTATGACAATAAGCAAAGCATAAAGCTGTACATATGTGGGGATGCCACTTAAAATCTGCGTCTGCTTTGGCCATCTTGTGAAGGCCAAGAAATACTTGTTCAGCTGTGATGAAGAAATAATTTGTCCAGATGTCAGCCTGTGCAAGACAGTTTAGATAACTGAAACGCCGTGTATAAGATGCCGGAGTGGCTCCTAAACCAGCTGAAAACTATGAACAAGAATATAACTGAGCACTAGAGGCTAAGGATGGCAGACATTATTGCCCTAACCTTCACTGAAATCTAATAAATAGCCAAAGTATTCCTCTTTGCCCATTTGACACTATTGTTTGGAAAATCCCTGTTTATCTGTGGCACATTTTTAAATTGGCTTGGTCCTATGTTATGTATTTCTCATGTACCATTCCAGTGTTATGATAACAAGAAGAATGCTACTGTAATGTTTGAAGAAGTTATGACTCTTAAACTGTCTGCAGACTGAAAAATAAGTGAAATGTTTTGACAGAGAAAATATGTGTTGTCAACTTTGTTTTATCCATGGCTGAGACAGGAAATTGAAACTGTACTTTAGCAGGGTTCAGACATTGATGAGTAAAATGATCTTCTAGTAAACAAATTAGTGCAAAATTGGTGTTCTACTTTATGCCTCATTCTTCCCCCATGAAATGGCCAATTAAATGTAGAGCTCATGTATTTAAAAAGAAATCTTTGAAAGGGTCTAAAGAAACAGCATCAGTGACAGAAGCAATCATTTGCACTAAATAAAAGGAATAGAGTCTAAAAAACACAGTGTGACCTCTTTGTTAATCTGAGGAGTGTGTTATAAAAGGTCACCTAAAGAATGTACAGTCTGATTACTCTATATTACAATTAGTCTCAGAGTCTTATGCACAGACAACATGGTGAAATATAAAGCTCTGCAGCAGAATAAAAGCTGCACCAAAGTTATCAATGGAAGAATGCTTTCATGACAACAGTTTCATGGAGCCTTACTATTAACTGGTGACTGAGTGGGCAGTTGTGTGGCCAGCTTTAGCAAAACTTGCTGTTCTTTTTGTGCCTGTCTGCCTCCTGACTTATCACTGTCAAGAGCTCACTCTAACTGTCGAATGATTCAACAAGGCTGGCAGAACATTCTCCCTATTGTCTCTGAGGAAGGTCTGTTTTACTTTTTATTAAAAAATACCAATCATCTTTAAAATATAGTTTGACAGCCTTGGTTGAGAATAACTTTTGGAAACTTTTCTTCTTATGGGTCTCCATTCTAATGTTCTTTTTTGAAGATGACATGGAAAAGAAGAGCAATTCTATGGTTAAACAAAGTACCTTGAAAACAACAGCTATTCTGGAAGCTAAAAGCTTGTGTCTGATCATGTGCCTATATATGAAACAAGTACACCTAAGGTTCACATCTGCTGTGTGTTGGACAGCGGTCTTTTTATTAGTGAAATTTAGCTTTGTGAAGATGGCTAGAACAGAGTTTGTTCCACATAACCCTTTGACTGAGGTTATAAGTGGGGCACAGGTTGGCTTTTTGCACAGGGGTGAATTTCATCCTATCAGAACAGTAAGAACTAGTCAGAAGGGTAGCCAAATTTTCCATGTTGCTCTTAATAAGGGTATGTCTACACTACGAAATTAGGTCGAATTTATAGAAGTCAATTTTTTTGGAAAGCAATTTTATACAGTCGATTGTGTGTGTCCACACTAAGTGCATTAAGTCGGCGGAGTGCGTCCACAATACCGAGGCTAGCATCAACTTTTGGAGCTTTGCACTGTGGGTAGCTATCCCACAGTTCCCGCAGTCTCTGCCGCCCATTGGAATTCTGGGTTGTGCTCCCAATGCCTGATGGGGCAAAAACATTGTCGCGGGTGATTTTGGGTACATGTTGTCCATGGCCCCTCTGTCTGTGAAAGCAATGGCAGACAATCATTTTACGCCTTTTTTCCGTGCGGGCGCCATACTGCTTTCAGCAGACGGTGCAGTAGGACTGCAAACCATCGTCCTCGAACAAAGCTGGGAGGTATTGCCAATTTAGAGAAGGACCGGGATATCATAGAGGAGGATCTGGATGAGCTTGTAAACTGGAGTAATAGAATGAAATTTAATAGCGAGAAGTGTAAGGTCATGCATTTAGGGATTAATAACAAGAATTTTAGTTATAAGCTGGGGACGCATTAATTAGAAGTAACGGAGGAGGAGAAGGGCCTTGGAGTATTGGTTGACCACAGGATGACTATGAGCCGCCAATGTGATATGTCCATGAAAAAAGCCTAATGCAGTCTTGGGATGCGTCATGCGAGGTATTTCCAGTAGAGATAAGGAGGTGTTAGTACTGTTATCCAAGGCACTGGTGAGACCTCATCTGGAATACTTTGTGCAGTTCTGGTCTCCCATGTTTAAGAAGGATGAATTCAAACTGGAACAGGTACAGAGAAGGGCTACTAGGATGATCCGAGGAATGGAAAACCTGTCTTATGAAAGGAGACTCAAGGAGCTTGGCTTGTTCACCCTAACCAAAAGAAGGTTGAGGGGGAGATATGATTGCGCTCTATAAATATATCAGAGGGATAAATACCAGAGAGGGAGAGGAATTATTTAAGCTCAGTACCAGTGTGGACACGAGAACAAATGTATATAAACTGGCCATCGGGAAGTTTAGACTTGAAATTAGATGAAGGTTTCTAACCATCAGAGGAGTGAAGTTCTGGAACAGCCTTCCAAGAGAAGCAGTAGGGGCAAAAGACCTACCTGGCTTCAAGATTAAACTAGATAAATTTATGGAGGAGATGGGATGGTGGGTTAACATGATTTTGGCAATTAATTGATCTTTAACTATTCATGGTAAATAGGCCCAATGGCCTGTGATGGAATGTTAGATGGGGTGGGATCTGAGTTACTACAGAGAATTCTGTCCTGGGTATCTGGCTTGGGGAATCTTGCCCACATGCTCAGGGGTCAGCTAATCACCATATTTGGGGTCAGGAAGGAATTTTCCTCCAGGGCAGATTGGAAGAGGCCCTGGGGTTTTTCTCCTTCCTCTGCAGCATGGGGCACAAGTCACTTGCTGGAGGATTCTCTGCACCTTGAAGTCTTTAAATCATGATTTGAGGACTTCAATAGCTCAGACATAGGTGAGAGGTTTTTCGCAGGAGTAGGTGAGTGAGGTTCTGTGGCCTGCATTGTGCAGGAGGTCAGACTAGATGATCCTAATGGTCCCTTTTGACCTTAATATCTATGACTCTGAGACAGCTTCCGCTGCCACTCTGCTCTTCTGGTGCCATGAACCCACCTTGCAGGTCCTCTCGTCGTTCTTTGTAAATATCTATTCTCCACCACTTCCACTGCAACTCTGCTCTCCCGCTCTTGTCCCGCCATACCACAGCAAGCCCGCTCAACTCAGCTCACCGACATCGCTGCTGTTGTGTCCTGGTGCTGCTAGCAGGAGACGGTGCAGTAGGTCTGCAAAACTCTGCTGTCCTGCTCTCCTGGTGGTCTCGCAGGTCCTCTATATGACTGTTGTCATCCGCTGCCACTCCTGCTCTCCATGCAGCCCGCTCTGCTGTTGTGTCCTAGCAGCAGATGGTGCAGTAGGTCTGCAAAATTGGTCATCCAACCACCTGCAACTCTGCTCTCCTGCAGACGCCATACCACGGCAAGCATGGAGCCCGCTCAGATCGCCGCGGCAGTTATGAGCATTGTAAACACCTCGCGCATTATCATGCAATATATGCAGAACCTGAACCTGCAAAAGCAGGCAAGGAGGCGACGGCAGCGCGGTGACCAGAGTGATGAGGACATGGACACAGACTTCTCTATGGAACTTGGGGAGGAGGATGGTTGGTTACACAGGGGATGCAGTAGCTGCCTGGGCCTTTCCTGCACCTCAACCATATGCTGGAGCATATCAATTTGATCCTGCAGTAGCCTCAGCATTGCATCCTGCCTCCTCTCATCACGCTACCACCACCTCTCCTGTTGCTCCAGTCATCTGTCCTCGCGCGCGTCCCTCCTGTCCTTGCATTCATTTTGGGCTTTCCTGGACTCTGCCATTGTTTGCCTCCATGCATTCTGCTGGGCTCTTTCAGTGCGGGAGGACTGCATGAACTCAGAACATTTCATTGCTAGGAGAGCTTCATTGAGATGTCCCTGGAGGATTTCCGCTCCATCCCCAGACTTTTCCAGTAGCTGTACTGGCTGCGAATGCATCCCAAGTATTCAGGGCAAATAAATCATTAAACATGCTTGCTTTTAAACCGTGTATTTTATTTACAAAGGTACACTCACCGGAGGTGCCTTCTCCGCCTTTAAGGTCCGGGAGCACGGTTGGGAGGTTACTGTCTCCAAGGTGATAAACAGTTCCTGGCTGTCGGGGAGAATGGTTTCACCACTTGCCTGGTGTGCGCTATCTTCAACCTCCTCCTCCTCATCTTCCTTGTCCCCAAAATCCTCATCCCTGTTGCGTGAGACTCCCTTGCAGGAGTCCACGTACAGGGGTGGGGTAGTTGTAGGGGCACCCCCTAGAATTGCATGCAGCTCATCATAGAAGCGGCATGTCTGGGGGTCTGACCCCGAGCAGGCGTTTGCCTCTTGGTAGGCTTGCCTGAGCTCCTTAAGTTTCACGTGGCACTGCTGCATGTTCCTGTTATATAGCCTCTGTCCTTCATGCCCTTGCAGATCTTTTTCAAATATCTTGGCATTTCGTCTTTTGGAACGGCGTTCTGATAGCACGGATTCGTCTCCCCATACAGCGATCAGATCCATGCTGGAGCTCTTTTGTGATTCTGGGACTCCATGATCACCTCTGCTGATGAGATCTGCATGGTCACCTGTGCTGATCAGCTTGCCTCGCTGTCCAAACAGGAAATGAAATTCAAAAGTTCGTGGGGCTTTTCCTGTCAACCTGCATCCGAGTTGAGAGTGCTGTCCAGAGCGGTCACAATGGAGCACTCTGGGATAGCTCCCGGAGGCCAATACTGTCGAATTGTGTCCACACTACCCCAAATGCGACCCGGCGATGTCGTTTTCAGCACTAATTCCCTGGTCGGGGAAGAGGACAGAAATCAATTTTAAGAGCCCATTAAGTTGACAAAAATGGCTTCGTCGTGTGGACGGGTTCAGGGTTAAATCGATCTAATACTGCTAAATTTGACCTAAACTCGTAGTGTAGACCAGGGCTTAGTGTAATCATGAGCTATTGTCTATTTGAGGTTGAGGGGGTTGTAGAAGTAATATCTAACTTATCTCAGTCTCTTGGATATGATCTATTTGAGAGGGAAAGTACCATTAAAGAAATTTGCAAATAATTCCTAAATAATAAATACATTTAAGACATTCAGATACAGCTCATGAACTTTTTGGGAACTAAAACAATTTGCCTAAATTATTTGTAACTAATTATTCTCAGGTCTAATTGCCAGGTTTGTATACCTTCTAATTAGTTTACATAGGGTAGATTGTAGGATCATGTATTTTTATTTTAATATGTTTTGTTCTTTTCACTTTCTGGTAATTGGAGATTAAAAATAGACGGTGTCTCTAAATACCTAGACTGTGTTTGAATTTAATATATGATGATTAATCTGTTTTTCCTTCTTTGTAACTACAGTAGCATGCACAGTACTTTGGCAGCATTTTCAATCTGAGAGTGCAACATTTTAGGTAATCCCCATATAGCATATCACCCTTGATCACCATTGATTTGCCATTGTTGAATTTCTTTAGAAGAGTAAAACACGAGCTTTTCATTCTGAATGCAAGTGAATAATGAATCTGCCATCAGAGGCATGTATGCACACCAGCTGCTGCATTTCAGAAAGCTATGCAGAGTCAGTGCTAAGATTTTTTTCTTCGAATATTGAGCACCACAATTTCATATAAGCAGATCTC